AGGCTCTAAAGAAAAGACAGCCAAATTCCTGCACCTTGATGGTTGGTCTCTAGAGGATAGCTTCTCACTGATAGCAAGGTCTGGCACCCTGGGTGGCCACCACTGTTAAGAATTTTCCTAATGCAGAGACTACAGTGGAAAACTTTCCTGCATTGGAGGTCAGGAGGTCTGGATTTTAGTTCCTGGGATCTGTCTTATTTGGCTGTATGACTTTGGGGAACATATTTAATCCCTCTGGGCTTCATATTCCTCCCCTGCAAAGATGAAGAACCGGGACAAAATCATCTCAAATTGTTTTCCCATTCTAAAATTCTAAAATAGTGACTCATTGCATGTTTTCTGCCAGGCCCTGTACTAGATATGAGGAATATAAAAATGAAAATAATAATAAAAGTTAATATTTATAGAGTGTTTAAATGTGTGCCACAGATTGTATTAACCACTTTATACATAGTATTTTGTTGAATTCTCAAAACATCTCTGTGAGTCCGGGCGTGGTGGCTCAGGCCTGTACACCTGTAATCCTAGCACTCTGGGAGGCCGAGAAGGGTGGATTGCTTGAGGTCAGGAGTTCGAAACCAGCCTGAGCAAGAGTGAGACCCTGTCTCTACTAAAAATAGAAATTAATTGGCCAACTAATTTATATAGAAAAAGTTAGCCGGGCATGGTGCACCTGCCTGTAGTCCCAGCTACTGGGGAGGCTGAGGCAGTAGGATTGCTTGAGCCCAGAAGTTTGAGGTTGCTGTGAGCTAGGCTGACACCACAGCACGCTAGCCTGGGCAACAAAGTAAAATTCTGTCTCAAAAAAAAAAACTCTGTGAGATCAGGCCTATCTATCATCAATATTACTGGTTTGTGAAAGGACCATTTTTTTTTTTTTAATGGAATGATTCACGACACAGGGGCCATGCTAATCTTCTCTGTATTGTTCCAATTTTAGTATATGTGCTATCAAAGCGAGCACAAGGCCCATTTCTTTGTCCTCTCCTTGCTTCCCCAAATTGGGTTCATGCTCTTGTAGGTTGATCTCAAGATGAGTGGTGTGAAGACACCATTCCAGGTGCTCTGTCAAGAACAACTCTGCTGGTGAAACCTCTAGACTGCTGGCTGTTAGATAGGGGTAACTTAAGACATATAAGTGGAGATAAATTTTCTCCTTTTTTTCTTAAAAAAGCTATTTTACTCATGTCAACACTTATACTAAATATCCAATTATTATGACAATGTATCTCTAGGATAGTCAGCCCAATGGAACAGAATAAAGAGTAAAGAAATAGATCCACGTATCTACGGACACTTACTATATGACAGAGTTGACACCGCAATGCAGTGATGCTAGGTCATTTGGGCTAATAATCATGTGAAAAAAATGACTCAACTCCTATTTTATACTGTACACAAAAATTACTTAAAAATGGATCATACGCCAGATGTAATGGCTCACACCTGTAATCTTGATACTTTGGGAGGCCAAGGCAAGAAGATCACTTGAGGCCAAGAATTCAAGATCAGCCTGGGCAACAGTGAGACCCCATCTCTACAAAAAATTTAAAAATTAGTCAGGTGTGGTGGTGCATGCCTGTAGCCCCAGTTAATCGGGAAGCTAAGGCAGGAGGATTGCTTGAACCCAGGAGTTAGAGGCTGCAGTGAACTATGGTGACGCCACTGCACTCTAGCCAGGGTGACAAAGAGAGACTCATCTCAAAAAAAAAAAAAAGAAAGATTGTAGATCTAAATGAAAATGTTTAAATAATAAAACTGCTAGAATTTAAAATATAAGAATATCTTCATGGTCTTAAGGTAAGCAAAGATTTCTTAAATAGGACACAAAAATCACTATAACCACAAAAGAAAAAAATGGATCAATTGGACTACATTAAAAATAAGAACTTTTTGGAGATGCTCTGATAAATACTTCGTAAAAAAAAGAAAAAGAAAAAAAAGTTAATAAAAAAAAATAAGAACTTCTCACCAAAATATACCATCAAAAAGTGAAAAGGAGGCCGGGCGCGGTGGCTCACGCCTGTAATCCTAGCACTCTGGGAGGCTGAGGCAGGCAGATTGCTCAAGGTCAGGAGTTCAAAACCAGCCTGAGTGAGACCCCGTCTCTACCATAAAAATAGAAAGAAATTAATTGGCCAACTAATATATATAATATAAAAATCAGCCAGGCATGGTGGCTCGTGCTTGTAGTCCCAGCTACTCGGGAGGCTGAGGCAGGAGGATCGCTTGAGCCCAGGAGTTTGAGATTGCTGTGAGTTAGGCTGACACCACGGCACTCACTCTAGCCTAGGCAAGAAAGCGAGACTCTGTCTCAAAAAAAAAAAAAAAAAAAAGTGAAAAGGGAAGCTACAGAGAAGGAGAAGATATTTGCAGCTACTTGGAAAGGATCATTTCTAGAATATATAAAGAACATCTATAAATCAACAAGAGAAAAGCAGATGACCCAATTTTTAAAATGGGCAAAATGTATGTCTGCCTACCGCATGTAAAAAAAAAAAAACTATGTCTGCCTACCGCATGTAAAAAAAATAAAAAATAAAATAAAAAAAAAATAAAATGGGCAAAATATTTGAATAGGCAGGTACTCAAGGCCAGTACAATATCCAAATGGCCAGTAAACATGTGGGAAGGTGCTCAGGCTCAATAGATGTAAAAGAAATGCAAGTTAAAATCTCACTGCATTACCACTATCTAGCCACCAAAATGGCTAAAACAAACCAGAAAACCTAACTGTAAGTTTTGTACACAGTGTTGGCAAGAATGTGGAAGAATTATTAATAAAACTCTCATATATTGAGGGTGGGAGTCTAAATTGGAAACCACTTTGTAAAACTCTTCAAGAGTATCTATTAAAGATGAACATATACGTACTCTATAACTCATTCAGTTCCCAGGTATATTCCCAACAAAAATACATACATATATTCACTAAAAGATGTGTAGAAGAACATTGTTAGCAGTACTATTCATAATGGCCCCTCACTGGAAACAATCCAAATTCCTACCAACAGTTGAAAGGATAAGTAAATTGTAGACTATACAGTGGACTACTAGAGCAATGAGAAGGAAAGAACAAACTTAATGAATAAAAGAAGCTAGACACAAAAGAGAATGTACTTTATCATTCCATTTTCATGAATTTCAAAAACATGTGAAATAACACTATGGTTTTATAAATCAGAATAGTGATTACCAATTTGGGGAAGGAGACCTTTTGGGTTACTGGTAATGATCTATTTTTTGTCCAGGACACTGATTACACAGATATTTTTACTTTGTGAAAATTCATTGAGATGTGTGCTTATTTATGCATTTTTTGGTATGAATATTATATTGTAATAAAAATGTCACTAAAAACAATTTTAGGCTGGGCGTGGTGGCTCACACCTATAATCCTTACACTCTGGGAGGCCGGGAGGCGGTGGATAGTTTGAGCTCAGGAATTCGAGAACAGCCTGAGCAAGAGTGAGACCCTATCTCTACTAAAAATAGAAAGAAATTAGCTGGACAGCTAAAAATACATAGAAAAAATTAGCTGGGCATGGTGGTACATACCCGTAGTCCCAGCTACTCAGGAGGTTGAGGCAGAAGAATCATTTGAGCCCAGGAGTTTGAGGTTGATACTACAGCACTCTAGCCTGGGCAACAGATGGAGACTCTGTCTCAAAAAAAAAACAAACCAATTTTTAAAACCTAGTAGAACCCAGCTTGGTGATGCACAACTATAATCCCAACTATTTGGGAGGCTAAGGCATAAGGATTGTTGGAATCCAGGAATTTAAGACCAGCCTAGGCAACATGGTAAAACTCTTTCTCAAAAAAAAACCAAAAACAAAAACAAACCCAGATTTTAAGATTCTAATTTTAAATTGATAAAAGTTGACCATATTAAAAATTCAAAAAATATAGAAGGAAAGTAGTTAAAAATTCTCTTTTCTACCTCTATTCCCTAGCCATCCAGTTGCCTCACAGGCAGCCAATGATTGTAGTGTTTTTGTACATTCTTCCAGAGATATTTTTTGGATATGCAAGCAAATAAATATGTTTGTAATTACACACATGCTCATGCACGCACACACACACACACACACACACACACACGTCTGTTCACTCCTACCTACCCTTTTTATATATGTGGCAATATTTTGTAAACATTATTCTGCAGTTTGCCTTTATCATTTAATTTATCTTAAACACCTTTCCATATCAGTACATAAAGAAATGCCTTATTCTTACAGCTACATAATTTATCTGACAGGTCTCCTCTTGATGGGCATTTAGGTTAGATTATTTTCAGTTGAGAAGCTTTCTTCATTCTGACCTATGTTGTATGAAATATCTTTTCCCAGGCCTGCCTCATTTTAACTTGTTATACCAGCCTACACAAGTTGATATGTAGTGAAGCAATATCTTATATGACAGGGAAAGGAAGAAATCAAATAATTATTGTATCTCACAGTTCTCAAATGGAAGGCTATGTGTAGACAATTGTTGAATTTTAGAGCTAGAATGGCTAGAAGAGAACTAATGGTAAGATTCCGATGAAAGCTAAGGATTCTCTTTGCAGAAAAATGTACTCATAAAATTTTGCATATAAATTTTGGGGTTCATAGACCTCTTGGACTCCATCTATGGGTTCTAGATTAACAATATTTTAATTTAGCATAACCCCATCAATTTATAAATTGAGAAACAGAAGGCCAGAGATGGAAGGTGAGTCTTAACACAAGGTAGTAGCAGAAGACAGTCACATGTATTCATGTTAAAGTAATGATAGCAATATCTCTCCTTGCTTTGGCTGGTGTCAGACTGGCCAGGGAAGCTGCCTGTTCCTTCTCAGGAGCCTTCAGTTTGTAGGTAGGGGGTAACCTGAGAGAAAAATGGTAAACAGATTTATTTGAAAGATGGACTATTTTAATGTCAAAATAGTATTATTAGAATTTCTTATACAAAACTTTGATTTATTTTCTTTCTCTTTTTATTTGTTTTCTGTTTAGCCCAAGAAGAAGAGGGGAAAAGTAGAAGTGAGAGCCATTAATTTGGGCACAGATCATGAATATGGTGTTTTAAACATTCACCTGACTGCTTATGACATGACCCTGGCAGAGAGTTATGCCCAATATGTTCACAACCTCTGCAACGATCTTTCCATTAAAGTCGAAGAAAGGTATGAAGGATGCCTTTGTATGGGATGTTCTTGGTGTGGTTAGCATGATCTGCTTTTTTGTTAAATCGGGTTTTTGAAATATAATTTACATGTAGTAAAATGTACTCTTTTTAGGTGTATAGTTTGCCACAATCAAAATATAGAGGAGTTTCATTAACCCAAAAAATTTCCTACTGCCCTGGTGTGGTCAATCTCCTTCCCCTCTCCCACTCAAGTCCCTGGCAACCACTGATCAATTTTCTGTCACCATTGTTTTAACTTCTCCAGAATGTCATGTAAATAGAATCACACAGTATGTAGCTATTCGTGTCTGGCCTTTTTCACGTAGCATAATGTATTTGACATTCATCCATGTTTTTACAAGTTTCTTTTTTTAATTGTGATAAAATACACATAACATGAAGTTTGCCATACTACTAATTTTTTTTTTTTTTTTTTGAGACACAGTCTCACTCTATTGCCCAGGCTAGAGTGCTGTGGTGTCAGCCTAGCTCACAGCAACCTCAAACTCCTGGGCTCAAGCAATCCTCCTGCCTCAGCCTCCCGAGTAGCTGGGACTACAAGCATGCACCACCATGCCCAGCTAATTTTGTCTATATATTTTTAGTTGGCCAATTAATTTCTTTCTATTTTTAGTAGAGATACGGTCTCACTCTTGCTCAGGCTGGTTTCAAACTCCTGACCTTCAGCGATCCTCCTGCCTCGGCCTCCCAGAATGCTAGGATTATAGGCGTGGGCCACCATGCCCAGCCCATACTACCCATTTTTAAATGTACAGTATGGTGATATGAAATACATTCATAATGTTGTGCAACCATTATCACTGTCCACTTCCATAACTCTTCATGTTATAAAACTGAAACTCTGTATCCATTAAACAGTAACTTCTTATTCCCACCTCCCCCCAGCTCCTGGCAACCACCCTTCTACTTTCTGTCTCTGATTTTGACTACTCTACCTCTTATAAATGGAATCTTGTCTTTTTGTAACTGGTTTGTTTCACGTAGCATAATGTCCTCAAAGTTCATCCATATGGTAGCATATGTCAAAGTGAGTTGATTTAAAAGAAAAATATTTAATAAATAATAATTTGGATAGTTTGCCATTGTACAAGGTAGTACATGGCCTAATATGTGGATATGGGAAAAATTGTACTTTCTTACTCATTAGATATTAGTATATTCCCATTCCCATTTTACAGATGTAGAAACCAAGGCCTAGAAGGCCCAAAAGTCATAAAACCAGTAAGTTGCCTCAATTTAAACCCAGTTCTCCCTAACTCCAGTATTATTAGTTCTATAGGGTCTTATTTTAAATCCTTAAGCCAAATTTGTACTTTTAAACCTTTATAACTTAGAGTGCAGCTGTGCTAAAAGTGCTCTTTAGAAGATTTGATAATGAGTTTAGCTCTCACAGCTGACAGTACTTCAATTCTTTTAAGCCTAAAAATGTGCTTTATCTCTTTCTGATGCCCCAGAGAGTTGGTTGCTCTTTCAGCACTTGACACACACCTCTATCATGTCACTTAGTGCTCTGGGCTGTAATGATCTATTCATGTGTCAGTTCCCCTTCCCTCTGACTGTGCATTCCCTCTAGATGGGGACTGTGTTCTTTGTTTCTTTAGTACTTAGCACAAGGCCTGCCACATGGGAGATATTCAGTCATTGTTGAAAGAATGACAGATTCTTGAATATGACAGCACAATCCAGTTATGTGTTATATATACATTTCCTAAAGTTTAATGAAAGTGTTGGTTGGTTGGTTGGTTGGTTGGTTGGTTGGTTTTGAGACAGGGTCTCACTCTGTTGCCTGAGCTAGAGTACAGTGGTGTTATTATAGCTCACTGCAACCTCAGACTCCTGGGGTGAAGCAATTCTCCTGCCTCAGCCTCCCGAGTAGCTGGGACTACAGTTGCACGCCACCATGACTGGCTAATTTTTCTATTTTTTGTAGACATGGGGTCTCACTCTTGCTTAGACTGGTCTCAAATTCTTAGCCTTAAGCAATCCTCCTGCTTTGGCCTCCCAGAGCATTAGGATTACAGGTATGAGCCTCCAGGCCGGCCATGAAAGTGTTTTTAATTAGTTCGGAAACTATTAATTGAGCCTCTTCTTGCAATATGGTAGACACTACACTTGACATTCTCACTGGAGGATACTAGGGTAAATCTCCCTGATTTCAGGGAGTATATACACACACAGTGCACATACACAGACATACACATACATACATACATACCAGGAGACATAATGATAACATAATGTGGAAGGTGATATGTGAAAGATAAAGTGCAAAGACAGTTCAAAGAGGCAGAGTAGCATAGTAATTTAGAGCAGTGCTTCTCAAAGTATCCCTCCAAGAAGATATCAGGAACTTATGCCAAAATGTACATTCATACTTTGCTTCCTTCATGAAGAAAGTCTTGCTATTAAAAAAAAGTGTGGGCTGAATTAAAGTGTATTTAGTGACTGTCGTATGCTTCTTATCTTGTCATGGACTAATGACATTCAGTTTATTCATTGCAGCTTGTCTATGGACCATACTTGGAATAACAAGTGGCTAAGAGTACAAGCTCTAGAATCAAACTGCCTACATTGAAATTCTGGCTCTACCACTTATTGGCAATATGACCTTGGGAAATTCTGAATCTCAGTTTCTTCATCTATATAGTGGGGATGATATTTTTTCTATTTCTTTGAATTCTGAAAATTAAATAAACTAGTACATGACAGCACTTAGCATAGACACTGGCACATTGTAAATACTCCATAACTAACGTTATTGTTATTAATAATTAATGAAGCTTTTTTTTTTTCCAGCTGGCAAGGATTAGAGATAGCTTCTTGGAGGTTGTGATGGCAAAGAGGCATTAAATGTCATTCACAGAATGTTACTGTCATACCTACAGTGGATCAATTTCTTGCAATAGTGTGTTAAATTTTCAGGAGGATTCTTTAAAGATGCTGCTTTTTTGGCTGGGCATGGAGGCTCATGCTTATAATCCTAGCACTCTGAGAGGCCAAGGCGGGAGGATCATTTGATCTCAGGAGTTGAGACCAGCCAGAGCCCTGAGCAAGAGTATGACCCCATCTCTACCAAAAATAGAAAAAATTAGCCAGGCATGGTAGCACACACCTATAGTCCCAGCTACTCAGGAGGCTGAGGCAGGAAGATTGCTTGAGCCCAGGAGTTTGAAGCTGCTGTGAGCTGGGCTGATGCCATGGCACTCTAGCCTAGGTGAGAGAACGAGACTCTGTCTCAAAAAAAAACAAACAAAAAAAGATGATGCTTTTAAAAATCTGGCTGTAAAAAGCCCTGGCTGCATTTGAATGAAGGCAGGAAGGCAGTAACATTTGTTGAGCACCAGCTACCACTCTGATAAAGCTAATTACTTTTTCTGTATGTTATTTTACTTAATTCAAACAAGGATCTTATACATAGATCAAAGCATCAACTCTGGAGCCAGACTTCCTGGGTTTTACTCTTGCTCTGGCGCATTCTTACATTCTGACATTGGGCAGTATACTTAACCTCTCTGTGCCTGGTTTACTCATATGTAAAATGGGGTTAATAAAAGTACCTACCTGGGCGGGCGCGGTGGCTCAAGCCTGTAATCCTAGCACTCTGGGAGGCCGAGGTGGGCGGATTGCTCGAGGTCAGGAGTTCGAAACCAGCCTGAGCAAGAGCAAGACCCCGTCTCTACTATAAATAGAAAGAAATTAATTGGCCAACTAATATATAATATATATAAAAAAATTAGCCGGGCATGTGGCGCATGCCTGTAGTCCCAGCTACTCGGAGGCTGAGGCAGGAGGATGCTTGAGCCCAGGAGTTTGAGGTTGCTGTGAGCTAGGCTGACGCCACGGCACTCACTCCTAGCCTGGGCAACAAGCGAGACTCCTGTCTCAAAAAAAAAAAAAAAAAGTACCTACCTAAAAAGACTATAGTTAAAATTGAGGGAGCTCAATAGTTAAAATGCTTAGAATATGCCCAGAACTGCTGGCTGCTATTATTATTGTTTGTTTGTTTGTTTTTGAAACAGAGTCTCACTCTGTTGCCTGGGCTAGAGTACTGTGGCATCAGCCTAGCTCACAGCAACCTCAAACTCCTGGGCTCAAGCGATCCTTTGCCTCAGCCTCCAAAGTAGCTGGGACTACAGGCATGCGCCACCATACCCGGCTAATTTTTTCTATATATATTTTTAGTTGACCAATTAATTTCTTTCTATTTATAGTAGAGACAGCGTCTCTCTCTTGCTCAGGCTGGTTTCCAACTCCTGACCTTGAGCAGTCCTCCCGCCTCGGCCTCCCAAAGTGCTAGGATTACAGGTGTGAGCCACCACGCCCAGCCTATTGTTGTTATTATTATAGAAGCTTGCCTATAATTCCTATACCTAATAAGTGGCACGGTCTGGATTAGAATCCACTTTTTTTTTTCCTACCTCTTGATTCTGCTGGTTCTGCACACAGCATTTAGGTTGATCTTTCTAGAATGGAAATAAGATTAAGTCACTCTCCTGCTTAAAATCTTTCAATGGCTTCCTACTCCTTTAGGATCTAAATAAAATTTCTTTTTTTTTGAGACAGAGTCTCACTCTGTTGCCCAGGCTAAAGTGAGTGCCGTGACATCAGGCTAGCTCACAGCAACCTCAGACTCCTGGGCTCAAGCAATCCTACTGCCTCAGCTCCCCAGAGTAGCTGGACTACAGGCAGCACCATGCACCACCATGCCTGGCTAATTTTTTCTATATATCTTTTTAGTTGGTCAATTAATTTGTTTCCATTTTTAGTAGAGATGGGGTCTTGCTCAGGCTTGTTTCCAACTCCTGACCTTGAGCAGTCCTCCCGCCCTCGGCCTACCCAGAGTGCTAGGATTACAAGCATGAGCCACCGCATCGGGCCTAAATAAAATTTCTTCATGTGGCTTGCCTTTCTTCACATTTTCTCTCCCTCTACCTCCAGTTACACTGGCTTTGTTTTTGCCACTTTCTACCTCAGCACCTTTGCATATGCTCAGTTTAGACTACTCTTCCCCCTTCAACTAACTACAACTCCTAGTTTTTTCTTAGGCATCATCTTGAATTTTACTTCTCTCTTACTGAGGGAACCTCATTAAGTTAGGTCCTTATTTGCTGGGCATGATGGCTCACACCTGTAATACTAGCACTCTGGGAGGCTGAGGCAGGAGATCATTTGAGATCAGGAGTTCAAGACCAACCTGAGCAAAAGTGATACCCACCCCCACTACTAAAAACAGAAAAAAATAGGCAGGCATGGTGATGCATGCCTGTAGCCCAGCTACTCAGGAGGCTGAGGCAGGAGAATCACTTGAGCCCCCAAGAGTTGGACATTCCAGTGAGCTATGATGATGCCACTTCACTCTAGCTGGGGTGACAAAGTAAGACTCTGTCTCAAGGAAAAAAAAAAGGTAGGTCCTGACGTTATATATTTAGAAGTAATGGATATATAACTTCTCTTTCATAACATGTGTTACTTATCTTGTAATTACTTTAACTATTGGTCTTTCCTATTAAACTTTAAGCTCTGTAAAGCAAGGACTCTTTCTGTCTTCATTAGTGATTTAACCCTAAGACTTTGCCTAGTGCCTGACACATAGTAGGCACTGAATAAATATTTTTTGATTTGGATCAAATCCTAGCAGACATGGACATGATTCCTAGAACAGCAGAATGAACGATGTGCTGCTTTTTGCTTCTTTCCTGGCTCTTTGCTGCAAATAGCTCAGAGCATGAAGAGCTGTTTGTTTTTAGCAACTCACTTCTTTGCATTGATTGAGGTTTTCAGACAATTGTTAGGCACTCCCACTGCCCAGCTTTTCAGAGATGAAATTTTTTTTTTCTGATTTTCATTTCATCTTGATCCATTTTTCCTCTGGGAGTGGCGGTGGCATGTAGAGATGATGGCTGTAACCTTGAGATGAAATTGGGCTAGACAGCAGCATGCCAGCTTTTGTTCTTTAAATGGTTTGCACTGCTCCTCACCCAGGAGGGGAGGAGAAAAAGAGGCTTCTCATGCCATTCACTTAATTTGTCTTCATCCCTTTCTGAGCAGCTGCCTGAGGAGATGGAAATCTTACTCCTCTGGGAGCAACTTCCAAGCCTGCATTGAGCCAGCCCCTGTGCTCTGCACATAGTAAAAGCATCACTCAGCATCACTTGCTATGAGACCACTCTTTCCTTTTAAAAAATATACTTCCATTTTTTTAAAATTGAGATATAACTTATATAAAGTGAAGTTCAGAGGTTCTGAGTTCCCAAACACCTCAGCAAATTCCTTTGTGTCCCTTTCCAAGCAATACTCCCCAAATACGGTAGCACTATTTTGCCATGTTAGGTTGGCTGTTGAAATCCTATTCTTTCATTTCGTTCGTTCTTTTTTTTTTTTTCTTGAGACCGAGTCTCACTTTGTTGCCCAGGCTAGAGTGAGTGCCATGGCATCAGCCTAGCTCACAACAACCTCAAACTCCTGGGCTCCAGCAATCCTATTGCCTCAGCCTCCCAAGTAGCTGGGACTATAGGCATGCGCCACCATGCCTGGCTAAGTTTTTCTTTATATATATATATTAGTTGGCCAATTAATTTCTTTCTATTTATAGTAGAGATAGGGTCTCGCTCAGGTTGGTTTCTAACTCCTGACCTTAAGCAATCTGCCCACCTTGGCCTCCCAGAATGCTAGGATTACAGGCGTGAGCCACCGTGCCCGGCCCGCTCCTTCTGTTTTTACTGTCCAATCATCCAAGCAGTGTTTATTGCAGAAAATTTGGAAAGCACAGAAAAGTGTAGATACTAAAGAAAAATAGCCTGTACTTTTACCACTCAAAGGCCTGTTATACTTTGAAATGACCAGAGTTCCCAGTATTTCTTTATCAAACAATGTCTAGTTTTCTGTTGGTTCTCTTTGAGGGCCTCTGATGCCTCCTTGCCTTTGTATATACTGCTGTACTTTCTTGGAATGCCCCCCAGGCAAACATCTGTACTTATTCTTTACATCTTGATAAATTACTGCCTCACCTATGACTCTTTCTCTGAGCCCCCCGCCCTTCTTGTCCCTATAATATTCTGCACATACCTATTATTGCCTTTGTCTTATTGTTGTACAGATGTTTGTGTACTCGCCTGCCTCTCTAAAACACTTGTAGTGAGTTCCTTGAAGCATAGACTTCATATTGCCCACCACAGTGCCTAGAACAGAACAGTATTTTAGAGTGCTTTTAGTTTTCCAAAAGCTTTAACATAACTATTTTATTTGATCTTCCACAAGAAGTCTATGATAGTATCCCCAATTTTTTTATGTTGAGAGGTTATTGATATATTTGAATTAGAATAAGAGGAGATCAGACATTGTGCTACAAAGTGGGAGGGGATGTTATTTATAGAGGCTACATGAAAGTTTGTAATACCCAGCATTTACTGACTATTTAGGAGGGCAAGGGACCTGAAATTTGTGGGCATAGTATACCAGGCAAATCACTTATGTTATCTCATTTAATCATTGCAAAATCCTAGGAATTAGGTATATATTTTTAAAATTTATTTATTCTTTTGTTTTTAAAGATATGGGGTCTCGTTCTGTCACCCAGGCTATAGTGCTATGGCATGATCATTGCTCACTGCAGCCTTGAACTCCTGGGCTCACAAACCCTGGGCTCCCAAGTAGCTGGGACTACAGGCGTGCACCACCATGCCTGGCTGATTTTTTAAAATTTTTTGTAGAGACAGGATCTCTATATTGCCCAGGCTGGTCTCAAACTCCTGGCCTCAAGCAATCCTTCCTAGGCCTCTCCAAGTGCTAGGAGTATAGGCATGAGCCACCACGCCTGGCCCTGGCTGATTTTTAAAAAAACTTTTTTAGAGATAGGGTCTGGCTATGTTGAATTAGGTTTTACTATTCTCATTTTATAGCTGAAGAAATTGAGACTAAGAAAGCTGAATTAATTTGTCTAAGTTCAAATAGGTAATAAGTGGCAGAGCCAATATTTAAATCTAGGACTGCCATGGCTCTAATCCATTTTTCTATTACTCTAAACTTCCTTTTGTAGATGTCCATGTACAGAGGGACATGCCCCTTGCTATGTGATGAAATTTTGTGAGGCATGAAAATTGAAAAATCCACTGTCATTAGTTTCCTGAACTTTTTGATAAGATGAACATAATACTAATGCCCTATTTTTATGTAGCCATTAATCTAGTCCTGTCTCATCACCACACCCAATTCTTACAATTGTCTATTGATATAGGCCAAGTTGTAATTTTATTTATACATGAAGAAACTGAGGCCCAGAGGAAGAAGTGAATATTGCTAATAAGTGGCGGGCCAACACTTGACACCAATTTCAGTTCTTTTCACTGCAGTATGTATAATAGATTTGCTGAAGCTGGCTATAGTAAGCATGGACTCTACAACAGTGTTTCTCAACACAGAAGATGTTACCCCTTGGGACAATCAATAATGTCTGGAGATAATTTTGATTGTGACCACTTGGGGGATACTCTCGGCATCCAGTGGGTAGAGCCTAGAGATGTATAGGCCCCCACAACAAATAATTATCTGGTCCCAAATGTCAGTATCACTGTGGTTGAGAGATCCTGTTCTAGAACAATTGAGTTTCATGCCTTATTCCTCCAAAACAGGTGAAATACCCAGGATTAGTCTCTAAAGCATACCTAGTGATAAGCTTGATTTTTTTTTAGAAGTGGCTATTCTTCAATAGCAGCAAATATGTATTAATCACCAGGTTTTATTCATAATATTGTATTAAGCATGATTATGGATGCAGAAAGGCATTAGACATGGTCTGTTCACCCAGGGAGTTTAGAGACTTCTGGAAGAGGTAAAGGGGGTCTGGGTACTTTGTCCCTGATTGCAGGTGAGTATTCCCTATTCTAGGAGCTACTGCATGCAGTAGTGGCTGTACTGATGGACTACCCTGATTGAAGTGCTGCTGCTGGCTTATGTGAACTCTCCCAATAACTGACTCTTCCTTTCTACAGTTATGCAATGCCAACCAAAACCATGGAGGTGATGCGGCTGCCGGACCAAGGCAACAAAATGGTCCTGGACTCAGTCCTTACCACTCATGAGCGAGTGGTTCAGGTAGGCATTCAAGGAGAACCTGAAATGTATTTGCCTCTCCTAGTGCTTCTCTCTGTCCGTTTTTTCTCCTTCTGTCAAGCCCTTTTCTTCCTCTTGCCTGCCGCTTAAATGATGCTCTTCCCCAGGATTCAGTTCTGGACCCCTTCATTACTCCTTTTATTATACCTTCACCCTGTGCAATCTCATTCGTTTTCCTGGCCTCAGTGGCCATCATTATATACTGATAATACACACACACACACATATAGTCCTGATCTGTTGGGTGAGCTTCAGACCTGATACCCCCTTGTCTACTGGAGGACTTTTCCACTTGGATGTTCCACAGGTGTCCTCCCTACACTCATTGTATGCAAAGCTAACTGTAGAATGACTGATTCCCCTCTCTTTTTCTACAATTCTTTCCACCTTTGAGCCTAATGTGTGACCCCTCTTTGTCCTTTTATATCCATTCATTCACCAAATTCTGTATCTTCTATCTCCTAACAATCTTTCAGATCCATATACTTCACTTTACCCCCATACCAATGTGATCATGTCATTTTCCTGCTTAAAATGCTTTAAATCCCATTCACTCCAGCCATGCATGGAGCTAGTTTTAATTCCTTAACACTGTTATGCCTCAACATGTTACTGAATGCTATTTCCCCTGCCTTAAAAACCCTCCACACTACTATTGAATTTTCCCAGTTTATTCTTGTTTTTCTTTAAGACTCTACCCAGATGTTACCTTTTCTGGAAGCTTTCTTCGGCCTTCCCTGATTTGAGTTGGATAGGTATATCTCTTGTGTGTTCTCACAATCCCCTGCCTGCCCTTCCATCACACATCTGATTCACCTCTGGATTCTTAGCACAGGGCCTGATACCACTCAGGTCCTGGTCTATGTGGGCAAACCTGTATTGAATCAGAAATTCAGTCTGGACTTGATAACCTCTTGGTCCAGTTATGATGTCCATTGCCTATAAGAGCAGATATTTGCAGTAGCCATCTCAGGAAGAAAACACCTGGGCAGATGCCAAGAGAAATCCTATAGAGACCAGGCTCAAAAACCAGCTTTTGGTGTTAATCCTACACCTTAGGGCTCTCTAGCTACCCAGAGGCTGGCATTTGAGCCCATGCCATGTCTGCTCAATTGCCTAGATTTCAGCTCCCTCCTTTAAAGCATTTTCTTTCATTTTGCAGATCAGCGGTTTGAGTGCTACATTTGCAGAGATTTTCTTGGAAATAATCCAAAGCAATCTTCCTGAAGGAGTCACATTGTCAGTAAGGGAGGTATGTACTAGTTTGGGAAAAGCCCTTGTAGTAGCCTACTTTTGCTCAAAATAAGAATAACAACATCTGGACTCCCTCATTTTAGAAACAACAGAGAATAATTTAGCCCAGGTAATAATCAGGAAAGATATATAGTCTGATGGCACCCTGATCATTATTCTGAGGCATCAGGAATGATGCTTTGTGGACCATAAGACCTCACTTTCATCAAAGCATCCTGATGTTAGGAGTGAACCCCATGACACCCCAAATTCTCTCTTTTCAGGCAGTTGTGTGGCAGAAAGAACATGGTTTAAGATTATATACAGTGTAATATATCAGAACACAAATAGGAAAACGTACATTAGAGAGAAGTTTCCTGGAACTTCAAGGCTTGACTATAGCCCGACTGAATATATTCAGTAAAGAATGCCAGTCAGAAGGATGTTTAGCCAGACATGGAAGACTTGCAAAACATTAGGAACCTTGGCCTAAATACTAAGTATTCAGGTCCAGGTGCCAAGATAATCCTTCTTGTGACACAGATACATCAGGTCGTCTTAGACTGCTAATGCTTCTTCTAGCCTCTCTTGTTCTGTGTCCATACTTGTCAAGCTTCTTCTGGTTGTTATTTGGGTTTCACATAGATCTATGTGCAGGGAGAGAATGTGTTGGTCATGCTGACTTAAAATATTCCAGTCTCTGTGAGTGTTATTCCCTATTGTAAATTTGTAAATGAACAATTTTGACATTCTCTCTTTCTTTTTTTTTTTTTTTTTTTTTTGAGACAGAGTCACTCACTCTGTTGCCCTGGCTAGAGTGCAATGGGATCATCGTAGCTCGCTGCAACCTCAAACTCCTGGGCACAAGTGATCCTCCTGCCTCAGCTTCCTGGGTAGCTGGGACTACAGGCATGATCCACGACACCCAGATAATTTTTTTTTCTATATATATTAGTTGGCCAATTAATTTCCTTCTATTTATAGTAGAGACGGGGTCTTGCTCTTGCTCAGGCTGGTTTCGAACTCCTGACCTCGAGCAATCCGCCCGCCTTGGCCTCCCAGAGTGCTATCTCTGTCTCTTAAAATCCTTCTATTGTGATTGTTATAGCATTTTGGTATTAATTCTTTATATATATGTCTTCCCTCACCAGACTATAAGTTCACTGAAAGCATGGAGGATGTCTGATTCAACTTTGAGTCCCTGGTACCTAATACAAGGCTGCTACATAGTAGATAATAAAAGTTAGTGAGACTTGAATCATTCTCTACAGAGCTAGCTTATGAGTCCTTTTTGGATGCTGCACATATCTGGGTAACTACAAGTTCTTCAGTAATTTCCACTTTTTTTCTTCTCCCTAGCACACTGAAGAAGACTTCAAGGGAAGATTCAAAGCTCGGCCAGAACTGGAAGAACTGTTGGCCAAATTGAACTAACTATTACAGACCTGCAATATGACAGCACTGGTCATATTGAGTGCCAAGAAGGACCTTCCTGCGTAGTCAGAGTTAAGCAGGAGACCTTGACCCTTGGATTTCATAAATTCTTATTCCCACAGCCAGGAATGCCTTCTCTCCTCTGTGGCATGGCTGTGCTTGCCAGTTGTTACCACTAATCCTAGTTATCCATCATCTAATAAAAATGTGCTGCAGAATGTGTATGTGTATGTGTGGGAGTGTGAAGTTGGCCCATTTTGAGGAGTATCGTTAAGAGATTCTATTTTCTCTTTGCCTGGTACTTTAGCACAGAAGCATGTTACCCTTCTGTCTTTCTCCACCTAGAGCAAATTCACCCTTTAAAGCAATCTGGCATGGAGTCCTGTAGTAAAGCAGAGGATCATAATGTAAGTAAATGCTCTATGAGTGGAAGTCATAGAGAGAGATTTTGGCTTTGGATTAAAAACTCTCCAGATAGAACTGGAGTCTGTCCATAAGTGAAATAAATTGCTTTGTGGGGTAGTGACTTATCCTAAGTATTCAGGTACAAGTTACATAACTACTAATTAAGTTTGCCTGGAATGAGTTTAGGCAAAGAATTGAAAGTTGATTTTGGGCTGGGCACAGTGGCTTACGCCTGTAATCCTAGCACTCTGGGAGGCCAAGGTGGGCGGATTGCTCAAGGTCAGGAGTTCGAAACCAGCCTGAGCAAGAGCAAGACCCCGTCTCTACTATAAATAGAAAGAAATTAATTGGCCAACTAATATATATAGAAAAAAAAATTAGCCGGGCATGGTAGCGCATGCCTGTAGTCCCAGCTACTCGGGAGGCTGAGGCAGTAGGATTGCTTGAGCCCAGGAGTTTGAGGTTGCTGTGAGCTAGGCTGATGCTACAGCACTCACTCTAACCTGGGCAATAAAGTGAGACTCTGTCTCAAAAAAAAAAGTTGATTTTGGTCAGGAGTCAACAAACTACTGCCCATGAACCAAATCCCATCCACTGCCTATTTGGTTGTTTAAAATAATTTATTGAGGTGAAATTTACCACAAAATTAAAGTGAATTTTTAAAGTGAATAATTCAGTGGCATTTAGTACCTTTGTTGTACTAAATAGATGCAACTGCCACATCTATCCAGTTCCAAACCCCACTCCCTGTTTTAATAAATAAAGGTTTATTGGATAAGAGCCATGCTATGCATTTACATATTGTCTATAGCTGCTTTAATACTACAATGGCAGATTTGAGTAGTTGCATATATATTGCCCCTTTATCACATGGGCAATGTGCAATGTCACATGGATCTCATTTAGGAATCTAGAAAACACAGCAGTGTTTTCCAGTTGCTCAATTTTCCTTGTTATCAATATGTGGAAGCAGAAATCAGGATATTATAAATTGACAAGATATTGGAACTGAAGGACCTTAAGACCCAGCCAGCCTAACTATCTCTTTTAGCAAGCGCAGGTTATGGGCTATGCCCTCTATGGGTGCAGTGCCCAAGGCCACAGGGCATCTCATTGGCTGAGGCAGCAGGATTCAGATCTCTTGATTCCCAGTTCATCCCTTCCCATCACATCATTGAGGGATGAGTCAGGCTTATTTCTCTTACACAGTAGGAAGCTGGATTCTGTCATGTTGGAGCTCTTGTGTCACTGACCTAGTTGATGATTTATCCTCTCACCAGAGTCAGAGGGCTTTTGTTGCTCATGATTAGTTTTCCCTGAGACAAATGGAATTGCTCTTAATGCATCCTGGTAAGAGGTACTGGAGATATTCTGATTGCTAGAACCTCAGGATTACAAAACAATTATAAGCTTCATTTGATTATCTAAGAGTGAGGCCCAGAGGGAAATGGATGTTCTTAGGATCACATGGCAGTGTAATCAAATGGAACGCTAGTCTCCTGGCTCTAGGTTGAAAATACCTTCCTCTCCATCCCTGAGACAACCTGGCTTCTAGCTTCTACATTTATTTGTTTTGAGCTCTCTGCAAAGTTATTTTAACCTCATTGAACCTCAGATATCTGATCTGTAAAATGGGGATAATCCCTTTTTAGGAGTTTGAGATGGAAATAATGTATTTAATGAGCTAGCAAGTGCTCAATAAATATTAGATTTCCTTCTTTTCTAAAATTCTTCAGCATGCCTTCTAAAAAGATTTTTTCATTGAGGTATAATTTATATATTGTGAAACACACCAATCTTAAGTATATATTTGATCAGTTTTGAAAATTCATCTACTCATGAAACCCACACTTCTATCAAGGTAAAGAACATTTCTGTCACCCCAGAAAGTTCCCTCATATTTTTTTATAGTCATTCTTCCTCAGAAGCAACCACTAATCTCATTTCTATTGCCATACATTAGTTTCGCCTATCTAGTACTACAGATAAATGAAATATAGTATGTACTCTTTTGTATCTGACTTCATTCAGCATAATGTTTTATTCATTGTGTTACATGTGTCAGTAGTTCATTCCTTCAGCATACTTTTAATTTTGAGTGCCCCAGTTAGAGTTAAACTATTCCTAGTAGTGCCATGAAAGCATGAGGGATAAACAGGAGAGAAGAGGGAGTATCAATGGATTTGGAAAGATGAGTTCTAGTCCTGACTGTGTCAATATATAACCTTTGGAAGCCATCCTGAGCAAAAAGAAAAAAATTGGAAAAATCACATTACCAGACTTCAATAGTCAGGTACAGTCAGGTACTTTATAGTACAGAGCTGTAGTAACCAAAACACCATTGTACTGATATACAAACAGACACAGAGACCAATGGAACAGAATAGAGAACCCAGAAATAAATCCACACATCTATAGTGAACTTATCTTTGACAAAGGTGCCAAGAACATACAATGGGGAAAGGACATTCTCTTCAATAAATGGTGCTGGGAAAACTGGATATCTATATGCAGAAGAATGAAACTAGAACTCTAATCTCTTGCCATATACAAAAATCAAATCAAAATGGATTAAAGCCTTAAACCTAAGACCTGAAATAATGAAACTACTGAGAGAAAACATTGGAGAAACACTTGAGGACATTGGTCTGGGCAAGGACATCTTGAGTAATACCCCCAAAGCATAGGCAACCAAAGCAAAATTAAACAAATGGGATCATATCAAGCTAAAAAGCTTCTGCACAGCAAAGGAAACAACAAAGTAAAGAGACAACCCACAGAATGGGAGAAAATATCTGTAAACTGCCCATCTGACAAAGGATTAATAACTAGAATATATAATATCCAAAAGAGGGGAATTCAGTAAATCAAAAAGATATCTGCACTCCCATGTTTACTGCAGCAGTATTCACAATAGTCAATATTTGGAATCAACCTAAGTGTCCATCAACAGATGAACAGATAAAGAAATTGTGGTATATATATACAATGGAATAGTATATAGCCACAAAAAAGAATGAAATCCTTTCATTTGCAACAACATGGATAGATAGAACTGGAGAACATTATGTTAAGTGAAATAAGCCAAGCACAGAAAGACAAATCTCACATGTTCTCACTCATATGTGGGAGCTAAATATTAAAAACAGTCTCATGAAAATAGAGAATAGAATGATGGTTACCCAGTGGCAGGGAGAAGGGGATAAAGTGGGGATGCTTAATGAGTACAAAATTACAGTTAGATAGAATGGACAATATTTGCTAGCACTACAAAGTGACTATAATCAACAATGAGTTCGGGTATACTTTAAAATAACTAAAAGAGTAGAATTGGAATGTTGCTAACACAAAGAAATGATAAATGCCTGAGGTGATGGATATCCCAATTACCCTGATTTGATTAATTCACATTGTATGCCTGCATCAAAATATCACATATACCCTATAAAGATATACAACCATTATATACCCATAATAATTCAGATTCTTTTAAAACATTTAAATTTTAAAAAAATATAACCTTTGGGATAAACTATTTTAGTCTTCATCTTACAGATGAGTGAACTGGCCGAGGGAAAGAGACTTGTCCAGGGTCACCTAGTTAGCCAGTGACAGAGACAGAGACAGGGATAGTTCAAGACAGTGATAGGTCACTCAATTCCTGGTTCAGTGCATATTACTGAGATTTTTAGAAATGAATTTTGTTTTTAGAAATGAATTTTTATGTAGATCATTAACTTTCTTTTTTCTTTTTTTTTTTTTTGCCCAGGCTAGAGTGAGTGCCGTGGCGTCAGCCTAGCTCACAGCAAACTCAAACTCCTGGGCTCAAGCAATCCTCCTGCCTCAGCCTCCTGAGTAGCTGGGACTACAGGCATGCGCCACCATGCCCGGCTAATTATATATATATATTAGTTGGCCAATTAATTTCTTTCTATTAATAGTAGAGACGGGGTCTCGCTCTTGCTCAGGCTGGTTTCGAACTCCTGAGCCCAAACGATCCGCCCGCCTCAGCCTCCCAGAGAGCTAGGATTACAGGCGTGAGCCACCGCACCCGGCCGATCATTAACTTTCAAGAAGGGCGAAATGCTTGTGTCAAATGGGTAATTTTTCTAGTTAACCAGCAGATTCATGTTTTAGTCCCTTTCCTCTAGGTGAGGATGCCTTATTCCTCCAGCATGGAAGCCTGGAAATGGCATGCTATGGATTCTGAAAGGGTACATTTTAGTCACAGAGAAAGAAATGAAATCTGGGTTATTGTGACCATTTGGACACTAGCAATGCTAAGACCCCTAGTCCACTCTATCTAGGATACTTAAGGTCCCCTCTGTTTGTACTGTACTTAAGGAAGGAAAGCTTTCTGAGCATGCATTAGGTATGGTTAGAACTAGACCTGCTGGGCAGACACTGCAAACAGAGGTGGCCAGTGTGTCTTCTGTTTGTTTCATTTGTACTTTGATCTCTTTGTAATCTTTGTCTTCACATGCCTGATCTTGCTGAAGAATCTGAAATGATTCATTTGGCTATTATAATCCCCCTAGAATAACTTTCATTCTCAGACATTTCAGCTCATTTTAGAGAATCAGCTCACTATTTAGAGTGAATGCCCAGGCTCTAAAGAATGAGAAGTCTTCAGAAGATAATGGCTGAGAAGGGAAGAATCCCTCCTACTTCCTCTGCCTGTTTTAAGTCCTTGCTGGAGTAGCAGAGGGAGCCCCAACATTCTCTACACAAGGAAAGTATAAGGTTTCAATCTGGACTCCTTTCAGTTTTCTTTGGATTTCTAAAGTCAGCAGCCCAAGGACTTAGCCTGGCCACTT